GTGGAGGGAGGACACATGAAATGGGTGAAACCTTCAGTCTGGCAGAGTAGACCTTGATGTCAAGCATCCCTGTGACCTCTGCCATGTTGCCCCTTTCCCTCGTGGCACCCAGAGGAGGAGGTGATGGCAGATGCAGGAATGAGCGGCAGTGACTGAGAAAGCACCACCCACCACCCCGGTATTTTAAAGAAGCCCCAAACTGCCATCACTGTGTTACAGCAAGTCTGGATCAGCCCTGCAAAGGCCACAGCCCTCACTTTGTGTGCAGGAGACTGAAATGTCCTCTATTCAACCTCCTTCTCCACCCCACAAACTTCATGGGACCTCACAGCCCCTCTGCCACTTACTTAAGATCAGGTTCTGTCCAAAGAGGGATATAGAGGCCCCTTTCTTGCTCCTCTTCCAAGAAGTTCCCCCCCACCTCTGCAAATCAGGGACTCCCTCTGCTCTTCATGGAGGCCAAGTGAAATACAGCTCTTGGACGTGGGGCTGCACAGCTGACCAGGCAGCTGGCACATCCTCATGGAGGACCTGCCAGAAAGACTTCATTTCTTGTTAGGATCTTGGAAAACAAATCCCCTCTGGGTTTCCACCTCAGATATGATACTGTCTGCCCATGTTTATGCTGGCTGGAAATGGGAGGGGGCCCTGTGTGCCCTGAGCTGGGTGGGACTTCAGGAGAGCTGGGCTACAGGCAGTCCTCCAGCACCCCTCCAACAACTGTGGGTTGGCAGGTGAGGGAGACCCAAACCCTCACTGTGCGCAGTTTTGCTTGACAGATATGGCATGAAAGGCTCTGAAGCAATAACTCATGCTTGCAGCTGCTGCAGGGGAGACCTCAGACTTTCCACTGAGCTTAGTGTGAGAGCTCCCTGCAGTGCCAGGCCACAGCAGGGAAAGAGAAAAATTAAAAGCTCTCCACAGGATAACAACCCTAGTGGCTTGTGGTCTTAATTCCTTCCTTTGCAAAACAAACAGCACATGGTGTGATTAAGGGAGCTTTCTGGGATACACATATTTGGACTCTTTCTTCCCTCCCTTGCCAAGACCATGAAGAGCCCTGCAAAAGCTCTTTCTTGTCATCAGCAACATCTTTTACCTAATTCTCCATTTTGTGTCTTGCAGGCCAACAACTGCAATGTCATAACTGCACCACGTAGAGCTAGGACACCAGGTAGGATTCAGTCTAGCAGCTCAGAAAGCAACTCAACCACCCAAGAACAAGCCTTTATGCCATTGTGGAAGCCAAAGCTGAGAATGAATGAAGTCGTTAGAGAAGATTGCTTTTCAAAGATTCAGATTTTGAGCCAACACATCCTTGGGCTACCTTGCACAGCACTAGATTTTTGTAACAAAACAACTTCTCTGCTTGAATGTCAGTGAGATCCCTTTGGACCAGCAGTGACTTAGCTTTTGTTTGGTGCTTCTTCAAGCAGATAGCAGGTTATGATGCCATTTACCTGGCTTGCAGGAAGACTGGAGCTTCATCTCAAGCTCTGAATCATTGAGTGACTTTACATAAAGAAAGTAAACCATTAGCATTTTTCTTAATTCTGTGCTCTGGTTTTCTTTCTCATAATTGTTGTAGGTGTGGAGAAAGGGAAAAGATCTCTATACTACACAGGCCCTCAGCTTTGCTCTGAGGCCTTCTGTGTCACTTCGTGAAGCTCCAGCAAGTATCTTCTCGTATCTTAACAGCAGCAGCAGACATAAGTAGGAGGGGGACCCATGAAGAGCTCTGCCATCACCCTGCAGCACTGCATGACCACAGGCAAGTCACCTCCCTCCTATGCTTCCCTTCCAAAATTTATCCTAATTGTTTACCCAGGTTGGGCCCTATTCATCCCGCTGCATCAACGCTTCACCAAGCACCTTGCCTCAGCAAAACAGGGTGTGCTTCTCATTAGCATACACTAAGTATTTGCTTTTAGATACAGGGCTTTTGGTCAACAGTTACAGTTGCATCTATTTGGTTATAGCTTTGAAAATCTGAGTACGCTTGCCATTTCCATGAATGTTAAATTCAGTAAGGCTGCCCTCTTGAAATCAGTGGTAAAGTAAAATATAATGACTTGAAGATCCTGCAGATAATTGGGCAGCTGTGCTGCATGCCATCGCTTGCTAGTTGCCCATTCCAGAGGAAAGCTGTGCTCTGGCAGGGCTGAAGTGTGCAGTTTGGCATCTGCACTCAGAGGCAGAGGGACGGATGCTACGGATGCTGCTGACATCCATAACCTCTGCCTGCAGGTCTGAGCAGGAGCAAGAGGTGAGTTCATGTTTGAGGAGACTGACCTGTCTCAAGAGTGATTATATTTGAGGAGCAGAGTCCAGTGTCCTCCTCCAAAGCCACCAAAATGAAGAAGAGCTTCCCTCAGTATCAACTAAACTTTTCCAGAGTCACAGATGTGGGGTAAGGGCAGTAGGTAGAAAGGAGAGGCCTTGTTCACAAGAATGAATAAAGGCAAGACAGACATGCCAACTGCAGCATTTTCATGCACACACTGTCCTAGACCTGGCAACCATGTACGCTCCTTAATTTAAAGGCCTTGCAAATGAGCAGAGAAAAAAGGGACAGAAGTATTTACAAAAAAAAAAAAAAAAAAAAAAGGTGGGATATAATGAACAAGCTAGGGGTAGAAATGTGCTAGTGGGGCCAGAAATATCTTAAGCTGACTTAGCTGCAAGAAGTCAATATACTTTGAAGCCACATTCACAAATGTTAAGTACAACATTTTGGAGGTTGTAATGTGAATTTCTAAACAGCTCGTGAAGCAGCAATGTAGGACAAGACATGAAAAATAGTTTGTCCCTAATTTCCCAGATGAAATTATGGCAGCATTCAACTTCTAGACATCCCAGTCACAAATGCAAACAAAACCAGTTACAGTTGTGTCTCTCCCCAGCAGAGGAGATGCATAGCTGGTGTAACGCAGTGCAAGCTTTCCCATGCTCGTACAGCAGCAAAAGGGAGATGGCAGTTTGCCAGGCCCTAAGCAGGTCACTATGGCATGATGCTCATGTCACCCTGTCATGCTGCATTTTCTCCAAAAGCTGTCCCAACTTTGTAAACAGAACATGCACAGACTGGACACTGCTTAACACTACATCTGCTGCGTGCCCCAAACTCCCAGCCCAACCTCTCCTTTCTGTGGAGACAGCACCATGGCCCCAAAGGGTAAGAACAGTGCAAACCATGGGACTTACCCTGCTGTCATGCCAGGACAGAACTGTGGGGTCCACTAACACTCTGAGGGCTTAAGGGCACTCTTGAGCCTTCCTTTGGGCATGTTTATTACCTAAACTTTGTCCTCTGTTGGTTCCTGGCCTATTTAACGCTACTGTGGCTCACATGATAGGAAGGTGAATTGCTATGTGCAATGAAGTTATATTTGCATTGATATCCTCATCATAAAGTCTGGAAGACTTGCAAGAAGAGTTAAAGCTGATCTCACAGATTATCTCATTGCTTCAGGCTGGGGTGTAGAACTCTGGCACCTTAAAAATGTGAAGTCTACTAGTGGTATTTCATTACCTAAAACAAAACTCCTTTTTGAGCACAAAGTAGGATGTTTTCAAAGCTCCTGAAGAGACTGATTATAGACTTCACTCCATTCATACACACTTAAAAGGACATATTTCTAAATGTGGTAAGGAGTGAAATGTGTCACTCACTTTCCCTCTTCTCTTTAACAGCTCCATCCAAAGACTTTTTTGCACCCATGAAGTGTTAGGCTGGTTTGCCTATGTACACCTAAAGAACATGGTCTGGAGTGGAACAACATCTCTATTTTCAGTCATGACATTTATTCTTCATACATATATTTGCACCAAGTCATGAAAGAAAAAAAAAGCCAAAAACTTGTGGTGGTTTTGCACTCTTTTCTGTTCAGAGATGAGCAAGAGAAAGGTGTTTCTCTTGAGAGAAAGGGAGGAAGGGGTTAAGCATCTCTAAAACTAGTTGGGCACAACTGATGTCAAATATCTGTTTTACAATGGCATCTATTTGCTTTCCCAGCAAGCAGTATATGGATCACTGGGCACTGCATTGTTCCAAGGACAGTGGAAGATGCCACATATCTTAGGAGAGGATAGATTTTCTCACTCCTCCTTATTAGGTAGGAGTTCTTGTTTGTTAAATAACTCCAGAGTAGAATCCAATCAGAAACTCCAGAAAAAAACTGTTTTTAATTTTTTTCACTTAACTGTTGTTTCCTGCGTGTTTGACTCTGATGAAATTGGCCCAGCTGTACTCTGTGCAGCTTCCTTGTGTCACTGTAATCATGTAATCATGTGTTCTCCACTTAAAAGCAAATCAGCATCATGAAAACTATAACTGTGCTCTCAATTTTCTGAAAGCCCCTCCTGGGCATTCAGAAAAACTACAGGGGAGCAAAAGCAAAAATCCTTAATGTTTTTGTATTTGGGTATTTCAGATTATTACAGATATGATGACATAGCGCAAAGTTAAGACAGGAACTTGTGAAAAGAAAGTCTACTAAGTTTAAACAGAAATGTAATGCTGAACTTCCCAAAACAGACCTACTGACTGGGACTCAGTTCTTCTTGTAGGCACACTGAGTTTATACACATTTTTTATTAACTGAAAAGTCCTTGAGCAGGCTCTGGATTCATTTTCCATGCATTTCCCACTTATTTTTATGTTCTATATATATGCAGTAGCCCCCACCAGTGCTCCCACCAGGAAACCCCAGCTGGTGGTGCTGCTGCAGTGGCAGCAGGTAGGGACCCAGCAACACCGTGGATTAGCAGAGAGGAACTTCAAAAATCAGCTCCAAGCGGCATTTCCAAGTTTGGGGCAGGTTTCAGAAAAGCCATACTGGGCTGTAATGCCACAGCGCTTTTAATCTCCCAACTAAAAGCACGACTTGGGGCATTTTTACATCTTCTTTGGAGGAAAAAGTCACGGGAGCTGCCCCTGCTTCGGCACAGGGAGCTAGCAGCTCCGAGGAGCATCACAGCACAGAAATCCAAGTACTCACCCGTCATCAGCGTGTAGTAATTTGGGTAGGAGAGGCTGGGGAAGTCTGGGGTCATGTAATCCACCTTCACCCCCATGTTCACAATGTCCCGAAAGCCCGGCAGACCCTCCAGCTCGCTGTCATCGATGTAGTCGAAGCGAAAGCCGTCGAGCAAGAATACCAGGAGCTTGCGGTGGGCCGAGGGGGCGGCGGGAAGCGGCAGGAGGGCGGCGAGGGCAGCGGCCAGGAGGGCGGCGAGGAGGCTGTGGCTCCCCATGGCAGGCAGCAGAGAGGGATCTGCGGCAGCTCCGGGGCCGGACCTGGCACTGCTGTCCCTGTCCCGCTTCCAGCGCCCGTGTTAAAGCTACAGCGCTGCCCCGCGCCGCGGGCGTGGGAGGTCACAGAGTAATTGCAAGCAGATGATTAACCTCGAGCTGAGCGAAGAGCTCGATACTTCCCCAGCTGCAGGAAAAAATGCTTCGCAAGGATGGGGAAAACACAGGCACAAAAGTAACTGGAGGCTCTCGGGACACTGGGCTGACACACCCGAGGAAGGCGAGCGAGGGCACATTGCCCGTGACCCTGGCGAGGAGGGGCCGCGGCGCCCGGCCACCCTCCCAGCGCTGCCGGCACAGAGCGGAGCCCGCTCCGCGGACACACAGCTCCGCTTCGGGGCTGCGGCTTGCGGAGGTCTCACAAAGAAGGGCTGCTTTCTTTAAAAGAGAGTGTTACTTCTCTAGCAACGTGAACGTGCGCACTCTTCTCCTATCTCCGGCGGTGGTTTGGGGTAGAAACTCAGGCTGAGATTAAGGCAAAGCATCTCTCCAGCTGGGAAGTGCCGTATATGAGTTGAGGTCCAGTGTTTCAATGGCATGGCGGTACCGCAGAGCACCAGCTGAGCAAGCTCACCTCTGCAAGGACGCGAGTCCCTGCAAAGGACCCTGTCCTCTCTGCTTCCTCTGTGCTGCACTGAGACTAATCCAGCTCCCGATGCACTAGTAGAAAAATGATACATTTATGGTTGTTGATATTATTTAGATATTAAATGCTGGATGATGCCCAAATTCATATTAAAAATGAAAAACTGGTCACATTTTAGTCACAAGTCACTGTGAGGTTCTTCTCCTTCACAGGAACCTGACTATACCTCTAATGCAATGCCAGCACCTGTTGTACACCATAATTGCATATTAACTCACTAATGGATTTTGTTTTTCCCAAATAAAATAATTTCATAGTATTCATAATGTTGTCTCACACACAGTGGGAAATGACCTTTGCAGATGTTTACACCTGGGGAAGGTTGCGATAGCTGGCCACCACCCCGTTGTGGATGTCTGAACTTCTGTTTGCTCCTTCCAAAGCTCCCAGTTGCACATCCAGCATGTCCAGTTGCCTGTTACCAAACACCAGGCTGATGCAATCTCAGCAAGATGGCTTTCAGCCCCCTTTGCCCCAAACACTTACTCACCCCTGTGCAAACCCCCTCATGTCCTGGCTTGCCTTTTGCACAGTGCTGTACTGTGTGCTAGTGCCCATGAGCCAAAGCTGCTGCCTGCAGGTCACTGCTCCCAGGATATGGCTGGAGAGGTGCCGTCCCTGCCCTTCTCCCAAGGGGCTTCCAGCTCAAAAAACAAGGTACCCTGCCAAGGGAAGGTGTGCTGGGATTTTCTGTAGGAGGGAGTAATTCCAGGCAGGTGGAAGAGGATGAAGTGGGAGCCTGCAGCTGAGCAGAACTGCTCAGGCCCTTCAGCTGCCTGTGCTTGTGTTAATTTTCTCAGTAAAATTTCTCACACCTCTTCCACTGGACTACATTCATTCCGCATGGACATCTCCCTGTCTATGACTCACCCAGTTACTCTTTTCTTCCCCTATTTTTTTTTCTACTCCCATCTTGGAGCCCAGCACTTGAGACATACCCTCACATAAGAGTTACACCTGAGACAAGGACTTGGAGCATTTCTGAGCTCCAGCCCAAGGATCTTTAGAGCAACATAGGGAACTAGCCCCTCAGGGCTTTATCCCTCTTCACATAGCATTTATTTTTGAAGCCTTGCATTGCTAGCTATCATCATCTTGACAACTTTAATTCTGTGTTTTGACTTTTCTTATCTTGCTTGGCTTTAGTTCACGTATTTTCTCACAGTGTAGCAACAATTTTCTCAGCAAAACCAACCCAGGGTCACACAGCCATGCTGCACCTCGTGTCAGAGACAGCTGAGCCCTGGGGCCATCCGTAAAGCTCCATGCCTGGAAGGACATCTGGACTGTGGTCCTCAGTCTGCTGGGATGATAACAGGTCCTGGTGCCTTGAGCAGACATTGCCTGGGAGAGCCAGGCGGTACTGGCATGCTCTAGCCTGAACTTTGAAGGAAAACACTCAAGTCCTGCCACGAGAGGGAAGGCCACAAGGCTGCGTGACCCAGGCAGCCGGTCTGTGTTCTGAGGGCGTCCCAGCCTGTGCAAGGCTGCTATTGCCCTGCAAACAGGGGATGAGGCTGCAGCTGCACGCCAGGCTGCTGGGCGACGTGACAGCCTGGGCAGTGGTGTGGGCAGCTGCCTGCCTGAGGGACAGCACGTGCTGTGTGTCACACCTATGCAGAGTCACCACTTTGCTCGGCTGTCTCCAGACTCAGCCGGGTCTCAGCTGAGGATCTGCCACGTCATCCGCCTCCTGAAGGGAATATGCACGTCCTCCTCCTGCTGCTCCTCTCTGGACTTGAAGAATGAGACATGGCCCTGCAGAATCTGTGCTCAGAGACAGCACTTCTACCAGTGCTTACAGTGGATTTTCAGTAAAGCAAAAAATGTATGTTATGGGCTTGGAGCCACCTGTAATGTCATGTCTTGGTCAAGCCACTGTGGTAATTTTTATGTCCGTACTTATGTTGAATGAATTCAGAAACATGTCCAAAAATGCGGAGAGAAATATTATGGTAGACCTCTTGGCAAACCCATGAGGACATTCACATTGATGACTTGTCTTGTCTTTTAGTGGGTGGCTTCTGGGCTTACCGGCAGGGCTCAGCAGAAACAACAGCTGCTGCCCATGAAGGAATGGGATAATAAAGGAGAGACAATAAAGTGTCCAAAATGGACTCCCACCTTGAAAGGATGATCAGTTGATTGAGGTGGTTAGGCCAAGAAATCAGGCTTCCATCATGAGATGGTACAAAATATATGTCTTCTTAACATTTCATGTCATTAAGAAATAGTGCCTTCCTTTCAAAAGGGTTGCAATCTTCTAGCTCTCTCCTAAAAGAAAGCTCTACCTGAAATGGCACAGTGACATGAGGGACAATTGGTGCAAGGTACCAGAGCTCAAGGTCTGCTTTAAGAATTGGAGGTTCACAGGTTTCCACTCAACAAATAACAGAAGGATGAGGCCTGAGAGGGGTTAAAGTACTAGAGATCCAAGTAACCATGACACTGTATAATACCAACTTGTGTTTTGACAGACAATCCCCCTGAAGAGTGGGACTGGAGCCAAACAGTCTAGCTTGGCAGAGACAGACCCTAGCAATATATTTCATCCCTGCCAAGCAATGTTGATTTGCTTTGGTTCACATTCATTTGTAAGCACCCTGTCTGCACAAAGCCCCAGATGGCCGTGGGGACTCCAGCACAACAATATTTTGATACAAATGCTCTTACAAAAGCTATCAGAGCTTGAGCTGATGTCCAGTGACAACAGTCCTCACTAGTTAGTTGTTAGGCTGGCTTTAGAAAGAAGCATGCATAAAGGAAAGAAAATACCTCAGTTCAATTTGTACATGAGAAGACACCCCATTGATCCAAAATTTGTTTGAGAAAAGATCCTTAACCACTTAGATTGCTCAAGAAATCCTCTTGGCAAAAACTGCCTCCAGTGTCCTTGAATCTTTTTTTTTTCTCTGGTTCTACAGAATTCACAAGCGCAGCATGAGAAATGAAAGAAAATTCTCTGGGCTCACACTGACAGTTCAGTCTGGCTTGTCAGATATACCAGCCTTCCCAGCAGTGCAACTCAACCTGTGCCCTTAGGTCCAGAAGCATATGGAAGAACAAGAGATGCTAAAAGTAAAACATGGTTTCTCTTTACCCCAGTGAACTAGAAAATCTAAAAGGGAAACTTGTCCTTCTCTCTCTCCTGAAAGAAAGATAAGAAGTCCTAACATGACTCGTCAGTTTGTAATTCCTTTTCAGTTCCTGTACTCCTTCACACACAATAGTAGTTGAACACTTTGGCCAACACAGCCTGACTTCTCATTAGAGAAAACGGCAGGCCACCTCCAGACATAAAAGCCTTGAGCTGCTTGCATTCCTTTGACGAAGAGGAAGAGGATTTCTGCCAGTATAGTTTTAACTCTGCTGGACTAAGGTCCTTCTTCCTCTTCTCCCCGCCAAACCCAAGGTAAAAAAGACACACGTGGAAACAGCCCTTCTGCTGACTTCCACAGAAAACCTCTGGCGATATGTGTATCTGCTTTCTGAACTGACAGAAGGTCTTACCTTGGTAGAAGTAATTGGCTACAGGAGTTTAGTTTAGTACCAGTTTCTTTGCTCCTGCACTGTGCATTCTCACCAATGCTTCTGTGTGGAGGTCTGCATTAGGCAAGGCATCTGCTGCTCCTTCAGGTCTTCTTGGTTGATATTTTGTGCCAGATCAGTTATTTCTGTTGTGTGCAGTAGTTCAATCACGAAGAATTCAAGACAAAGGAAATAGGTTGCTCTTGCTGTCGTCATGAACAGATGTCTATGATAAAGTCACACACTTGTTAGCTACAGAGAATTTCAAGCATTTCAAAGCTAGAAACTGCAGCTTTCTTGGAGAAAAGCAGTCATCTTTCACTGTTTCTCCAAGAAAGAAGGCACAGTTTACCTCTACCCTACTCAGCTGGTATAAGATTTGCCTTACTGTAAACATTCACGTGATGGATAATGAGTACCTCAAAGTGGGACAGTGACCACACTGATTGAGAGCCAGGGGCTGTTTAATGTTCTTTGAAGTGTCTCAGTTCAGGCAATTGTGTTGTTTAGAGAGCAGCTCTCCAAATCTCTTACTCCATCCTTCACTTCAACAGTCATGAGTCATATCAAAACTTTTCTAGCTGAGGAATATCTATTGAAGATGAAGAAACTTAATGAACTAGTAGAGACCCCTAAATGGCTCCCTGTTTCCTTGCAAGAAGCTGCATGGGCTTAGTGCATCATTGTCAGCACTGGCCTGTGAATGCTCCCTGACAACGTCCACACTGGTGAACAGGCTGTGCTTTCATTAAATAAAACTAGAATGAA